ATACTTGTCAGCTGTGTCACTTTCTCCCCAGTAAAACAAGGGACATATTCCCATCCCCCACTTCCAAAAATATCTGAATGTGAAACAAGCTCTATTCCCCTTAAAATATATTAAACAGTTTAACTTAACAGAAGATACAATTCAAAACATTCAGTATATAAAAGGCATATAATAATGGCTAGCCCTTAATACAGTGCTTCTTATGCATCAGGCCCTGTCTAAAGTGCTTTGATATAGTAACTTATTTAATCATCTTAACAAGTCCGTGAGGTAATATCATTCTTATCTACATTTTTAGATTAGGAAGTTCATGACTCGGAGAAGTTAAATAATTTGCCAAAGGATAGCGCCCACAAGAGACAGAGCCACGATTCGAATTCCGGGAGTCACACTTCAGAGAGTAGGGTCTTCAACTCTACCCTGTGTGCTCAAAACCACCTCCTCTCCCATACCCAGGCTCTGGGAGATGTGTTACTTCATAATTCAGACCACAGTTTTCACAAGATTCATCAGAGCCCACGCTGGCTGCAGTTCCACAAAGGCAGATCCTACACCTTTTCTCAGGCACCTGTTTTCCTGAACATCCCAAGCCTTACGTGGAGGACAGGAGTCCCTTCCCAGAACTATTACCCCTGCACCACTCACTACCAGGTGTCCCTGGGATGTTTGATTCAGGATCTGCTATAACTGCTGACCTAGGAGACCCCCATGGGATAACTTCACGAGTGAGTCCAAGGCTTACTTTTTCTGTTTTGGCGTATTACCAGATATCTCGACACTCTCTGTATTTTTCCCTCAGAGAAATCTCCCATGAGACTCACTCTCCCTTTAACTTCCAAAAGCCTATCAAAGTAGTATGTTTTATCTTAAAAATCTCAATTACATACCTTTATTTTTATATATAATTTAATTTTGTTTTGAGCATGTCTTTTCAACTCATCTCTAAGTTCCTTGGTCAGCCTATGCAGATCAAGTGTTGAGACTCTTTTCTATCACACATTCCATACGGTCCTGTGAAGGACCTGTTATTGAGGTTCAAGAAAGCTCAACGAGTGTGACCATGATTCTTTATCATTTAAAAAAGTCACTTAAGATCTCTCCATTATTTAGATATTTTAAATTTTTAAACAAATTATTCCATATTTCTGTGGTTAATATGTAAATGATGTATGGAGTGTATTTATAAAAATTGCTTGGTTAATTAAAAATAATAATGGAGCTTTACATGATATGATTCAAATACATGTTAAAAATTATGTGCACTTGTTGACTTTTCTGTGTAAACAATAGTACCCTAAACTGTGTTCTCTGACATCACATGGATTTCTAAACTTAAGGAGAAACTTGCAGTGCAGACATCAGTGTGCATAATTTACCAAAAAAGAAACCAATTCTGTAATGGATCTAGCGTTGGTCTTGGCGCTTCAATGAGTGTCATTAACTCTATACACTTATGAGAGCCTCTGTATATTTAAACTCCTTGTCCTCTTGGTTCCGATAGGCTAAAAGTGTTTTATGCTACTGTTTATTCTGATATCACTACTAAGACACAGTTAAAACTAAGACAAGAAAATGTGCCCTCCCATCACCACCACCAAGCTCACAGATCTGGGTGGTGAATGAGGACTAAGCCATCCCAGACACAGCATGTGTGGCCACCTGAAGTGTCTCCGTCCTGACTGCGGTATTAGCATTAAGAGGCTGTCCCTCTTGATCCTGTTTGAGGCTTGAAAGAAAGAAATGGTTTTTCCTGCGGCTCCAAGGGTGTACTCTACTTATGAACAGTACAGGAGCCTACCTCACTCCTGGGCATTCATATTCTGGATTAAGAACTGATTATGAGTCTCAGAAGATGCTGCACTCTGTAGCATTAAAAACTGTATTACAATTAATGGCATTTAGAGGAAAATGAATATAAAATTGGTTCGGTGGCCACAAAGGTTTTTCACATCATTGCCAACTCCTCTCTCTGCTTCCCTTACTTTTTTATACTCCCCTTTCAGCTGAGTGCTGTTGAATAGAATCAAGAGAATATCATGACTCAGTCTCTGCGAATTGATACGCTCATGTAATATCTCTGCTGGGCCCACTGCTAGGCAACCAAGGCAACCATCCATTAACATGCTGTCCAAATGGGTTATTTCAGAATTTTCAATCACTTTCAAACCTCAGGTTAGCTGTCCTTAGGAACTGATAACCTATCTCACAGCCCAGACTGGGATCATTAAGCATACACTTCCCTGCATACCTCCCCTCCCACCTGACGTGTTTTCACTTCATCCATTTCCTCCTCCAAAAACATGAGAGGAAATTTTCCATGTATTCCCAGTATTCCATCTGGCCTGACACACAAAATTTTTGCTTTAGTAAGCATAAATAAATGTTCTCCAGCTGAAATTGAACATAGCTTGAAGCAAAACAAAACTCCTAACTTCAAAAAGTAAATAGTTTGCATTAGTGAGGTGTTTTGGTAGCAAGAACCAGATATTCTATCTGTTATCCTTGGGGAAAAGGAAATACATGAACTCAAACTGTAACCTAACAAAACCCTAGAAACAAACATGGTCTGGCTAGCTTCTAATGGAAACAAAAGACCTACTCTGCTTGTCTCTGCTGAGCACATTCTACATCTCTTTCTCCATTGGCCAGTATGCTTTAGTATAAATTCCAGCGAGAGGTGGTCTCATTGACTGAACTAGTTGCCTTTGTCCCTATTGGATAGGGGTCTTCATAAAAAGCCACTATGGGTTCTGTTGCCCATCCTTCATCCTATCACAGGCTACTGCTTCACAAAGAGCAGCCTAGAGCTTCTTCTCTAAACTGTGAGCTTTAGAGAGAACAGTCTTGGTTAGGAAGGGCCATTGGGCAGAGCAGGCACAATGACTGTCCCAATAAGTACAACTGTGATGCCAGTGGAAATGCTGGTGACAACCAGAGAAAGTGTTCCAGGACTCCACGTCACACACACAGGAGCCAGAGGCGCTGACCACCTAGGGTGTGCAGTCACAATGCCAGAAATGCCCAGTGTTCTNGTCCAGAAATTCTGACATTAGAGATCTTACCATTTCTAACTGTTCCATGCTGAATATGCCTCTGCTACAAGAAAAGATGGGGATAGTAATACTACCATGCTGACTTCACTGGTTTATGATAAAGTTAAATTATTAATCTCCAAGCACTTTGACAATTTTATTGGTTTTTATTTTTATTATTATTGCTGCTTCTATGGGATATGGGAGGTTAAAAAACAAGCGTTTTTATTCACTTATGTTTATAAACTGAACGGCATTGCTATGTAAATTTAAGTTTCTACATATTTGTAGAATTAACCAAGTAAGCTTAACCAAACTTAACCATGCAAGATTTTATTTACATTTAGTCTGAGGTATTTTTGTTTTTTGTGTGTGTTTATTTGTTTTGCTAAGATGATACCTGCAGGATTGCCCGAGCTAAGTGAAATCCAAGACCTGAAATATGTTTACGATAATCTTCGTCCACAAGACACAGACCTGGAAGCAACAAGTCATTTTACCAAGTAAGGGTAGCTGTATGAGTGTGCATTCATGTGCGTGTACAGACATGTTTCACATTTGCGATGATTTCGGGTGAACAGTTATTGGTGTGAAGCTGTCATTTCCAAAACCAGCTTGTGTCTTCCTTGCCAAGTGGGAGAAAGGAAGCAATGTGAATGTCCAGCACAAGGCCTTAGTCAGTGATTCCATTGCATGCTATTGTTTCCTTACCAGTCTCTTCATCTAACACATTGCTCAGTGAGAGGTCACTGAAAAGAGCAAGGGCTGACAGAAATAAATTGGCTGTTCGACTTGAACTATGTCCAGAAAAACAATTTGGAAAAAGAGATTTATGATGAGTTATGGACTCACTACTTTTCATCTGTAAGACAATACAGTAATGTGTCATTGCTTGAACAGAGCAATTATAGTGCTTATAAATAGTCCCTTACAACTTACAAATAGTC